ACAGCCTGAGACGGCCCAAGAGTCCCGAAAGATCGCTCAAGGGGCCTCCAGGACGGCCCCAGAACGGCCCAAGAGGCCCCCAAGACGGCCCCAAGAGGGCCCCCAGACGGCCCAAGAGGCCTTCAAGTCAGCCCAGGGAAGCCCCCAAGACGGCTTCCGACAGACTCGGACGTGCCAGGAATGCTCTGAGACAGCCAGAGAGGCCCCCGAGCAGCACCCAAACGCCCCCAACAGGCCCAAAGAGGCCCCCAAAATGCCTCCAAGAGGCTCCCAGAAAGCTCACAGGAGGCCCCAAGAGAGCTCCCAGAGGCCAAAATTATGGATTGCCCCTTGGTTTCTGAAGGACTTGGGCGTTTGCTCAAATTCGGCTCCCCGACGGTCCAAGACGTCCCGAAGAGGCCACCAAGATGGCCTCTGAGAGCGCCTAAGAGGCCTCCGAGATGGCCCCCTAGCGGCCCAAGAGGCCCCAAAGACGGCCCCAAGGGGGCCCAAGACAGCCTCAAGAGGGCGCAGAGACGCCCAAGAGGCCCGCAGGATGGCTTCCAACGGCGTCAGACGGGCCAGGAACGCCCTCAGAGGGCCAAATAGCCTCCCAAGGCATCTCCAAAGGCCCCCAGGAGGCCCAAGGGGTTCCCCGACGCATTCCCCGAAGCGTTTCCACAACGGCTGGGGGAACACATAGTCCGATAGCTTGGCTGAGCTCTGGCCGCAATGTTCGGCCACATGGGCGCTTCAAAACCGGAAGGGGCGGCGGCGATTCGCCGTAGGCGTCTTCGTCCGCCGCCCCCGGTGGTCTTGCCCCAGGGGTGCACGCCGTACTGGATGTCCGGCAGTTCTTCGTTCTTTTAAAGGCTTCGGCCGAACCCGCCAGCCATGCCATCTGGAACAGGTGGCACGTAAGGCTTTTCGTTTCACTCCAGGTGGCTCCTGGGTGGCCTCCCCAAGACTGCAAAGGTGGCCTTCAGGACGGCTAAGATGGCCCCGAGAGAGAGAGAGAGAGAGAGAGAGAGCCCAAGATGACCGCACAGTCTCCACGACGGCCCAAGATGCTCCCTAGACGGCCTGAGATGGCCTCAAGATGTTCCAAGTCAGCTCCCAAGAGTCCTCCAAGACAACTCCAGAGGCCTTCAAGAGGTTTTCCAGGAAGGCTCGAAGAGGACCACCACATTGATGACCTAACAGCGAAGACTGATAGGTTTCTAGTAGTGTGAAAAGAGCATCTTGACTCCCCAGGGGGGTCTGGGCGGGTGCCGGGGAGAACCCGCGGAAGTCGTCTTAAGCAAACAGTTACACACTTCGTGGTCTTCGAGGTCCCAGAACTCCACTCCTGGGCATGATTTTGAATGTACGGAGCCAACTGTAGGCCACTTCGTGGTCTTCGAATTCCCAGAACTCCATTCCTGGGCATGATTTTGAATGCTCGGAGCCAACTGTAGGCCACTTCGTGGTCTTCGAATTCCCAGAACTCCATTCCTGGGCAGGATTTTGAATGCTCGGAGCCAACTGTAGGCCACTTCGTGGTCTTCGAGTTCCCAGAACTCCATTCCCGGGCTAAAGGCAGAGTGAAGTTGAGGCTGAGGCCGAGGCTGAAGGCAGACTGAGGCTGAGGCTGAAGCAGGCTGAGGCTGAGGCTGAGGCTGAGGCTGAGGCTGAGGCTGAGGCTGAGGCTGAGGCAGGCTGATGCTGAGGCAGGCTGAGGCTGAGGCTGAGGCTGAGGCTGATGCAGGCTGAGGCTGAGGCAGGCTGAGGCTGATGCCGAGGCTGAAGGCAGACTGAGGCTGAGGCTGAAGCAGGCTGAGGCTGAGGCTGAGGCAGGCTGAGGCTGAGGCTGAGGCAGGCTGATGCTGAGGCAGGCTGAGGCTGAGGCTGAGGCTGAGGCAGGCTGAGGCTGAGGCAGGCTGAGGCTGAGGCGAGGCTGAAGGCAGACTGAGGCTGAGGCTGAAGCAGGCTGAGGCTGAGGCTGAGGCTGAGGCAGGCTGAGGCTGAGGCTGAGGCAGGCTGATGCTGAGGCAGGCTGAGGCTGAGGCTGAGGCTGATGCAGGCTGAGGCTGAGGCAGGCTGAGGCTGAGGCCGAGGCTGAAGGCAGACTGAGGCTGAGGCTGAAGCAGACTGAGGCTGAGGCTGAGGCAGGCTGAGGCTGAGGCTGAAGCAGGCTGATGCTGAGGCAGGCTGAGGCTGAGGCTGAGGCTGATGCAGGCTGAGGCTGAGGCAGGCTGAGGCTGAGGCCGAGGCTGAAGGCAGACTGAGGCTGAGGCTGAAGCAGGCTGAGGCTGAGGCTGAGGCAGGCTGAGGCTGAGGCTGAGGCAGGCTGAGGCTGAGGCTGAGGCTGAGGCAGGCTGATGCTGATGCAGGCTGAGGCTGAGGCTGAGGCTGATGCAGGCTGAGGCTGAGGCAGGCTGAGGCTGAGGCCGAGGCTGAAGGCAGACTGAGGCTGAGGCTGAAGCAGGCTGAGGCTGAGGCTGAGGCAGGCTGAGGCTGAGGCTGAGGCAGGCTGAGGCTGAGGCAGGCTGAGGCTGAGGCAGGCTGAGGCTGAGGCTGAGGCTGATGCAGGCTGAGGCTGAGGCAGGCTGAGGCTGAGGCCGAGGCTGAAGGCAGACTGAGGCTGAGGCTGAAGCAGGCTGAGGCTGAGGCTGAGGCAGGTGAGGCTGAGGCAGGCTGAGGCTGAGGCTGAGGCAGGCTCAGGCTGAGGCAGGCTGAGGCTGAGGCCGAGGCTGCAGGCAGCTGAGGCTGAGGCTGAAGCAGGCTGAGGCTGAGGCTGAGGCAGGCTGAGGCTGAGGCTGAGGCAGGCTGATGCTGAGGCAGGCTGAGGCCGAGGCTGAGGCTGACAGGCTGAGGCTGAGGCAGGCTGAGGCGAGGCGAGGCTGAAGCAGACTGAGGCTGAGGCTGAAGCAGGCTGAGGCTGAGGCAGAGGCAGGCTGAGGCTGAGGCTGAGGCAGGCTGATGATGAGGCAGGCTGAGGCTGAGGCTGAGGCTGATGCAGGCTGAGGCTGAGGCAGCCTGAGGCTGAGGCCGAGGCTGAAGGCAGACTGAGGCTGAGGCTGAAGCAGGCTGAGGCTGAGGCTGAGGCAGGCTGAGGCTTGAGGCAGGCTGAGGCTGAGGCTGAGGCAGGCTGAGGCTGAGGCTGTGACTGCGACTGCCGTTGCCACTGCGACTGTCATCGCGAATGCGACTACGACTGCGAGAACAGCAGAATTCTACAACTGGATTATCATCTGAATCTTAAGGGGAATGCTTCCAGATGTGCTCCTACACATCGCTTTTAGGTTGCTTTGCCGGAATAATTGTCCAGTGGGTTTCGAAGTAGTTATGCATTTATTTATGTTCGGCCATCCGACAGTCCAAGACGGCCCAAGAGGCCCCGAATATCGCGCCAAGACCTGCTGAGAGGCCTCCAAGATGGCCCTATGATGGCCCAAGAGGCCCCCCAGACGGCCCCAAGACGGCCTCAGGGACCTCCAAGACGCCCAAGATGTCCTCCAAGACGGCCCTGAAGCGCCCCAAGAGGCCCCAAGTCGGCCCAGAGAGGATTCTAAGATGGTGTCCGACGGCGTCAGGCGGGCCAGGAACGCCCTCAGACGGCCAAGCCGCATTTCAAGAGTCCTCCAACAGCCTCCAAGAGGCCCAATGTTGCCTCCAAGAGGTATCGAAGAGACCCCCGGGAAGCTCCCACGAGCTTCCAAAAGTGCCTCAAGAGGCTCCCCGGAGGCCTCCTCCTCCTCCTCCTCCTCCTCCTTTGTCGTCCCTCTCCTTCCCCTCTTCTTTCTCCTCCGACGTGTTCCCCGAAGCGTTCCCACAACGGCTGAGGGGAACACATAGTCCGATAGCTTGGCCGAGCTCTGGCCGCAACGTTCGGCCTCATATGCGCTTCCCACTGTGAAGGGGCGGCGGCGATTCGCCGTAGGCGTCCAGCCACCAGAAACCCTCCACAAGAAACCCAACCCCGAGACCCCAGGACGCCCATCGACTCGTGGTGCGGGGACGTCACGCTCTCCGTCGCGAAACCGTCGAAAAACCCAAGAAGCTCAGGGCACCCTGGAGAGGCAAGCAGGGTGCTTCTCGGCAGGGGCCCCCACTGCACCTGTCCACTACGCGCAGGAGTGACCCCGGGTAAAAGTGACCTTTGGTGCGCGGCTTTTGGGGGGCCGCGGGGGGGGGGACTGACCACGAGAGCGCAAGACGCAACTGCGGTACGCGTTCGGCGATCGGGAGACCCCAATGGGCCCCCACCAAAGGTCACTCCGGCGAAAAATCACTCTTACGTTTATTTGGGCGCCCGAAATGGGTACGGAAAAAATGGGTACAATGCCCAACAACAAATGTTGTCCCAAACCAACAGCGGCCGCTGTTGGGCGGGCGGCCTTCTGTCTCAAATGGACACAGGCCGCGGCGGCGCGGACAGCGAGTCCCGTGCAAAATGAACAGGAACTGCTGTTGGGCATCGTACCCATTCTTTCCGTACCCATTTCGGGCGTCCAGAGTTTAGTCGAACCTGTCCCTCCTCCGGGAGGCGCGGGATCGAGCCCCCCGGGGGTGGGAGGAGCGCCGCCGGAGGGGATCCGCGGAGCGGGGAGGCGGCTCTCCGGGTGGCGCTCCCCTCTCGGCTCTCCACGCACGAGGCGACCCCTGGGTTTTGAGAGCGGCCTCGGGTGCCCGGCTTCTTCAGAGGCTCCCTAGATGGGCTCGGAGTAGATGGGGTCAAAGGATCGCGCCGCATCGGGAACGTCGGCGACGCATCGGCGACGTCGGCGTGGACAAAATCGGACTCCGCATCAAGCCCAAACGCCAATGCATCGGCGATGCGGCGCGATCCTCCGACCCCATCTACTCGGACCCCATCTAGGAGGCCTAGATTCTTGGGGGCGCCGCGGGAGGGGAGGGGGGGGGGGGGGTGCGAACGCGAGCGCGCAAGGCTCCACGGACCGCCCACCAGAGCACTCCAGCCCAACCTGAAGACCCGCATTTCGGGTTGGGGGGGGTAGCCTTTTTGCCTCCCCAAGCGCCTTCGCCCAAGCCGCCTCGGCCTCCAGCCAGGACGGCCTCCTCTCCGGGCGGCCGGGAAGAGTCGCAGGGATGCCATGAGATGTTCGCCCCCCCCTGGCGGGTGCCTTCGTCGGGGAGCCCCGAATGAGACACGAATGGCCTGGAGGAGGGGGAGGAGGAGGGAGAGGAGGAGGAGGAGGAGGAGGAGGAGGAGGAGGAGGAGCAGGAGGAGGCAGGAGAGGAGGAAGGAGGAGGAGGAGCGAGCAGGAGCGCGCAGGCGGAGGAGGAGGAGGAGGAGGAGGAGGAGCGAGGAGGAGGAGGAGTGAGCAGGAGCGAGAGGAGGGAGGAGGGGAGCGAGGAGGAGCGAGGCAGGAGGATGGAGGAGGAGGAGGAGGAGAGAGGAGGAGGAGGAGAGGAGGAGCGAGCAGGAGGAGGAGAAGGAGGAGGAGGAGCGGGCCCGAAGGCCACGAAGCGGCTCCCGGGCCCAGCTCTCGGGAGCGGCCCGAAGGCCACGCGCCGCGCCCGGAGCCCAGGGCTAAGGCCGACCCTCTCGGGCGTTGGCAGCACTGGGTTCCGTGGAACCTGGCCTCCTCCTCCTCCTCCTCCTCCTCCTCCTCATCCTCCTCCTTCCTTATCTCTCCATACCTCCTCCTCCTCCTATCTCCTCCTATCTCATCCTCCTCCTCCTCCTCCTCCTCCTCCTCCACCTCCTCCTCCTCCTAGTGATCTGCACCGGGGGCGCCCCCCCCGTCTTGGAGGCCTGGAAATGGGCACCAACACCAAGACAGGGGGCTGCCTCAACAGGGGGGAGGTGGTCCTCGATTTCGGTGTGGGTGGTAATGTTTCGGTCACCTTGGAAGCCAGAATATTACCACCATCGCCGAGATCGGGATCTTTCTCCCCTCGGTGGAGAAAGACCGCCGATCTTGGTGCTGGTGTCAATCTCTAGGCCTGCGACCGTCCCATTTCTACTAACCGGAACTGTCGTCCCCCGAAAAAACAGCAGCTATGGCAGACCTGGTTTAGCGATTCTGGCCACTTCGAAGGCTCCGGGGCCCTACCACGAAGCGGGTCCCCTTAGCCGGGGTCCTGGCCATACCCGACCCTCGTCCGAGCGTCACGACTGTAGGCTTAGGTCGGGCATGTCCTCCTTCAGGCGGACCTTGGACGAAAAATCAAAAAAAAAAAAAAAATGTTCAAGGGTAATCCAAACATCGGCCCCGAACTATTTTTTGGGGGACTCTGTTTTGCCATCCCTCTTGTAAAGGGACAGGCCCGACTTACCTGCAAGTGGGGGAGGCCACGCGTGGGCTGGAGGTTTCGCGGCCATCGCCGCCGCGCTGCGCCGGTCTCGGCCGCCCGTGGGGGGCCGTGCCGTGCTCGGCGGCGCCTGGGGCCGAATCCCATATGAGGTCACACTGCGGTGAGTTCATAGCCGCCCAAAAGTCCTCGAGACCCCAGGAGCGGACTGGAGGGCCCATGCCGCCTTGTGACGGGCCTGTCTTCCACCCCAACCACCACCATAAGTTGGAGGGGGGAGGGAGGAGGAGGAGGAGGAGGAGGAGGAGGAGGAGGAGGAGGAGGAGGAGGAGCCCTCCCCCTCCAACTTATGGTGGTGGTGGTGGTGGTGGAAAACAGGCCCATCACCTTCTGCGCCTCGGCGAACTCCGTCGGGACCTCGGGGATCCGAAGCTCCACCGCCGCTGCCCAGGCCGCCTCGCATGCCAGCCACGCGCCTCTCTTCGCAGAGCCGGGCGCCGACTCGACCTGCAGCAGCGCAGCACGGGCGGCCTCGTACTCTGCAAAGCCCATGCCTCGCGCCTCGAATGCGGAGTGCCCGTGTGGGGCACTGCGGATGGCTGGGCTGCAAAACCGAGCTGGATCGGCTCTGGAACTCAAGCGGCTGTGGGCTGGACTGCAACTGAACAGCGCGGGCTGCACAATACGGGCACGGTGCCATCACATCGCCCGGCAAGGGACGCAAACAATCTCTGGCTATGGGTGGGGGCGGGAGAGAAAGGGTCCGAAGCCTGACTGTCCCGCTCGCCCACCCCCTCCCTCCGAGATTCGGTCTCTTTACAACCCGAACGACACTTTACAACCGAGATAAGTTACTTCACAACCAACAAAGTATCGAACTCCAGGGTTTCCCTTTGAGAACGACCACTCTACAACCAGAACAGCCCACTTTACAACCAGAACGACCACTTTACAACCAGCCTTCAGAAGCGCAGAAGCGCGTGAGCGCTATGCAGAGGGTTCTGAGGCTTCTCAACGCCTGCCCGAGCGCTCTGCAGAAGCTTCTGAGCGCCAGAGCGTTCTGCAGAGGCTTCTGAGCGCCTGGGTGCCTTGCAGAGGCTTCTGAGCGCCTGAGCGCCCTGCAGACGCTCATGTGGCTTCTTAGCGCCTGGGCGTTCTGCAGAGGCTCCTGAGCGCCTGAGCGCTCTGCGGAGGCTTCTGAGGTTCTGAGCGCCTTTGCGCCCTGCAGATGCTTTTAGGCTCCTGATCGCTTGAGTGATATGCAGAGGTCTCTGAGGAGAAGGTTGAGGAGGGGGCGGACGAGGGGGCCGCTTTGCGGCTGCTACTGCCGCGCTGCTGCTTCCCAAAGCTTTGGGAGGGCATCCTGGGGGATGCAAACCATTTCTTGGCCGCGTGTCCATCCTCCTGTGTACGCATGCTTCCGCGAAGGTGAAAACAACACGCTTGCGACTGCCATCCGATGAGGTGCGAGGGCAAAACAATGTCCGCAAGGCCAAACAAATACAACTTGAAATCCGCATGCATTGGCTAAAATTTAGTGCACATTTCCGCCCTCCTGGGGACGCATGTTTCCGTAACGCCCACAGTTGAAACTGACACGTATTTGCTAGACATGTACCACCTGTCTGTTGGCCACATGTCCGCTCTCCTGGGTACACATGTTTCCGCACATGCGAAAACATGCGGTTGTGTCTTTGCCAGACGATAAGGCACGAGGACAAGACATGTCTGATGCAAAAGCACTTGTTGAAATCCGCATATATTGGCCAACATTCGACCAACAACTTCTTGGCGACATTTCTGCTCTCCTGGGGGCGCGCGTGTTCCTCTGCGTCTTTTGCGGCGAACGCTCTATTGCCAAAAGAAGCAATATTTTCAGGCAGAGTTTCTGAGGCTCCAACAAAACGGTGTAGATTTAGGGCATAGATGCATAAGTGTAAAAACAGGCTCCAACCGCCAAGGCCTGTCACCAGCCTGTAGCGGGAGGATCCCGATTGGATGTCAAGTGGGTTCCAATACCTCCTTTTGGATACCACAAGGATAACAATAGGACGCCCATTGGGGCACAGTATGGTTCAAAGAGGACAATTATTTGTTGGGTTACACTTGGGCCACGATGAGATCATAATGTGCCCGTATGCATCGGAAAGGCAGAATTCCGATTGGACTCCAGTGCGATATTCCTCGAATTCGCCAAAATGAGTCCGATGGGATTTGCAAGAGAAGCGGTTCCTATTGTTTTCGAAAGAGAACCCCAAAAAGATCCCCAACGGGTTTCCATCTAGTACCCCAGTGCGTTTCCCGCAGCATTCCAATAGGAGGGTTCCTCGATTGTAATCCTTTTGGGGTTCCCAACCGGTTTCCATTAGGAAGGGCCCCAAAGGGCTTCAATAGGAAGACCCCCTATCGGATTCCAATAGGACTGTCGTAGGCCCCATAGCGAAGAATCGTGTTGGAGACCAATGGGATTCATTCGGTGCCAACAGGATCCCACTGGGAAGGGTGCCACTAGATTCTAATAGGCTTCCTGTTGGATCCCATTTAGAATCCGCCAGTTCACATATTCTCGCTTCAGTCGAGTCACTTCACAACCAACACGCTTCAGAGAGCGAGTTGTCTCCCTTACGTGGACCCAAGGATATTTCGGAAATTGTCGAACATTTGTCGCTTATGTGCGTTTACTTGCCTGGTTGTAAAATGGCCTTCCTGGTTGTAAAGTGCCTTTGTGGGAAACCCATGCTGGTTGTAAAGTGCCCCATCTGGTTGTAAAGTGGCCGCTCTGGTTGGAATGTGACCCGCACGCCCCTCCCTCCCCCTCCCGCCCTCCCTCCCCCCCCCCCCTTCCCCTCCTCCCTCCCTTCCTCCCTCCCCCCTCTCCCTCCCTGCCCTCTCCAGAGGAAGCGAATTGTCCAAGCGGCCCGCATAATCACACGTGGCCGACTCCTGAAACCCTCCATACCCGAGGTTGACAGCATGGTTCGCGTCCTCCGGTTTCCCCGGCGCCCTCCTCCGACTGCCATCCGAGGACCCGCCGCGCTCTCAATCTCGAGCGCCCCTGGCGAAGAAACAATGAGCCGCAGGCAGCGCGCAGCGGCAAAAGGAGAAGCATCCGTGGGCACGGTCAAGAGGCCGAGGAACAAGAGGAGGAGGGGAGGAAAAGGAGGAACAGGAGGATGAGGAGGATGAGGAGCAGGAGGAGCAGGAGGAGCAGGAGGAGGAGTTGGAGGAGGAGGATGAGGAGGAGGAGGAAGAGGAGGAGGAGGAGGAGGAGGCGAAAGAGGACCTTCTGACATTGCAACGATGGCCGCTCCCTCATGGTACAAGGACCCAACCTCCTAGACACAGGCACCGCACAACGCGCACACAAATGCAAACAAACGCCTCATTGGCGAACACACGCACATGCGAACGCCAATTCATCCGCGCTGGGAAGTCCTCTCCCCCCAGGGACAGGGCCATCGGGACAAATCTTGGGGCAACCCCAGTAATGGACCGATTACCAATGTCCGCGCGAGAAGGATTGCCCACTCTTCGGCAGGAGCCCCCTCGACAGTCGCGGCAAGACCTCACGGCCCGCTGTGGACGGGCCGGCACGGCCCCGCCAATGACTGGACAACGCCAACACAATGGCGGCCGCAGGCCCTGCAGAACAAACACCCCTCGAAGCAATCAAAGGAGTAAGACGCGTGCGCACGGGGGTACGCGGGATGGGCAAAGCCGCTTCAGGACCGTCACGCATTGGTGGCCTCCCGACGCCCCTCCCTGTTTTCTTAAATCCGAAATCTTGCCTCTGTAGGCCTGGAACTTCCGTTGACACACGTCGCACCGCAAACTGCCTATACTTTTGACCACCGACTGGCCAAACGCCCGAGGGCGCAGACGACGCACAGAGTATGTCGGCAACGCCTTCGGACGAGGAGGCGGCCTACCAACCCGACCGGCCTTGTTGCGAGAGCAGGTGAGGCGAACATCCCTGTTGACATCAGGCAACTGCAAAAGAACTTGGGAAATTAACAAATCAACATCGGCAACCAACTTCCCATTGTCGGGCTCGACCTCCCTTTTCGCAGCGGCCACTCCAGCGAACTAGTCAGCACTTGCATTCAGACATTGTTCCTGCTCAGACAGGCCCCAGGCATCTCTCGAGGAAGCGCTGGCATGGACCTTTGTCCTGATCGGCTCCACTCGACCCGATCTGCGATCCACCTGGGCCCGGATCAGACACCGCAGATCGAGCGTCGGAGACGTTCGGGGCCTCCTGAGGGCCCGCGCCAAGGGGAGGCACCGAATGCGCGGCGACGTCGCCAGGCTGGAGGAACACCTACATCTCAGCACGCGGGCTGAACTGCTCGGGGGATGGAAGCGTGCCACGCGGCGCCCCAGCGAATCTGACGCATCCAGGAAGGCTATCACAATCGAACTTGACCACTGCCCACCCACGCCGTCTCAGCCTCCAGTCCTTGGCCCACTTGCCCGCCGAGCCGTCGAGGCCCCGCGCTGAGCTCGGCGGAGGGATTCGATTGACGGCGGCCGCCAACGAGGAAGCCCACGGTTCCAGAAGGAACTGTCAGGAAAAACGCGAGCGGCCTCCTGGGCCTCGGGGGTGAGAGGGGCCGACTGCAACATAGCACTGGGCTCGACATCGGCGCTGCGCGGGCGCTGCCGCACCCTGTGCGCCATAGTCTCTTGCCCGGCCCCGCAGCGCGGGCAAACGCCGGATGAAAGGCAGCCGGCCAGCCGAAGCCGCGCTTCGGGCCGGCATCCCCCCACCGCAATACAACGAAGCAGAGCTGCATCTTGATGGGTGCCTTCAGACGCTAACTTCCCATGGGTACGCCGTGGCACAATAGGATGAGCTCGCTCACCCAAACCAACTCCACTCGGGGATGGACAGACCTCCCTATAATAAAACGTGGTTCAGTGAAAACGACCTGAGGCCCAGACCTGGCGGGCGCAAGCCCGGCAAATAATGGCCACGGCGCCCCAGAAAACTGTTGACGGACAATTCGCTCATCGACGTGTCACTGTTGGGGGTTCTGTCCAACCCCGACCCTGATCCTCCGTTCTCGAAAAATTTGCATCGTGAGAGGGTGTCGGAAAGTAAGCTGCATCTTGCAAAAGTGTGCTGCGATTTCCGGCCTGGGTCGCAACGTGAAAATGCATCTTGCGGTAGCGCCGCCCGCCGCGAATCCTTCATATTTCGGGCTCGAAATTGCAGTCGCGCCGCGCTCGAAATTGCAGCCTCCCGCTCGAATTTCGGAAGGCTGCAATCGCGAACGCGGCGCGACTGCAATTTCGAGCCCGAAGGATTCGCGGCGCGCGGCGTTATCGTAAGATGCGTAATCACGTTGCGACCCAGGCCGAAAATCGCAGCGCGCTTTTGCAAGATGCAGTTTACTTTCGGACATCCTCCCGCGTACAACACATACTACACATGCACACATACAACACGCGCAACACATACACACGCACAACACACGTATACATATACGACACATACAACGCGCACAAAGCATTCTTATGGACACACATATATACAGTACGTACAATAC